ATTACAGGGGTGAGCCACCACACCTGGCCTCATCTATATAATCTCTAGATGAGATGCAAGCTCCACAAACTCAAGGAGCATGCCTGCTTTGTTTGCCACTGTCTTTCCAGAACCTTGGCTGTCTGGTACGTGGTAGATGGTCAATATATATATATATATTTTTTTTTTTTGAGATGGTGTCTTGCTCTTGCTGCAGAGGCTGGAGTGCAGTGGCGCAATTGCAGCTCACTGCAACCTCGGCCTCCTGGATTCAAGTGATTCACCTGCTTCAACCTCCTGAGTAGCTGACTAGCTGGGATTACAGGCATGCGCCATCACGCCCAGCTAATTTTTGTATTTTTAGTAGAGACCTGGTTTTACCATGTTGGTCAGGCTGCTCTCGAACTCCTGACCTCATGATCCGCCCACCTTGGCCTCCCAAAGTGCTGGGATTACAGGCGTGAGCCACCACACCTGGCCAGTCAATAAATATTTGCTGAACATACGAATGAATGTACAAATGATGTTGTCAGATATGCAGGAAAAGATTTTCCCTGGCAGAAGGGTGGTAGTCGGATTGAAGGAGACAACTGGGAGACAAGGAGAGAGGAAGGAAGGACCACTCTGATTTACTGGGCAAAAATGTAAGTCTAGGCTGGAGATGAGTACCATGGTGGGGGAAATGGACATCCAGGGAATTGAAAAGACATTTTAGGCCCAGTGCGGTGGCTCACGCCTGTAATCCCAGCGCTTTATTGGGGCCAAAGTGGGAGGATCACCTGAGGTCAGGAGTTCGAGACCAGCCTGGCCAACATGATGAAACTCCATCTCTACTAAAAATCAAAAAAACTGGCCAGGCGAGGCATGGTGGCTCATGCCTGTAATCCTAGCACTTCGGGAGGTCAAGGCAGGCGGATAACGAGGTCAGGAGTGTGAGACCAGGCTGGCTAATATGGTGAAACCCCGTCTCTACTAAAAATACAAAAATTAGCCAGGTGTGGTGGCACATGCCTGTAGTTCCAGCCACTCGGGAGGCTGAGGCAGAAGAATTGCTTGAAGCTGGGAGTCAGATGTTGCAGTGAGCCAAGATCACGCCATTGCACTCCAGCCTTGGCTACAGAGTGAGACTCCATCTCAAAAAAATAAAATAAAATGCATAAAATTAGTCGAGTATAGTGGCAGTGCCTATAATCCCAGCTACTCGGGAGGCTAAGACAGGAAAATTGCTTGAACCCGGGAAGCAGAAGTTGCAGTGAGCTGAGATTGCACCACTGCACGGCAGCCTGGGCAACAAGAGCGAAACTTCGTCACCAAAAAAAGGAAGAAAGACCCACTCTGATTTACTGGGCAAAAATGTGAGTCCAGGCGGCAGAAGACTCCCACTGTGGGGAGATGGGCATCCGGGGAATTGAAATGACATTTTAAAGACAGTGTGGCATGGCAGAAAGAATCGGAGTGTAATGAAGCCAGAACCTCTGTGTTTTAATACCAGCTCCATCACCCACTGTGTGACACTGGGCAAGTTTCTTAACCTCTCTGTGCCTGAGCATCCTCATCATCTTGTCACGTGGCACCAACATCTTAGAGGTGTATGTATGTCAAAGGGATGTGGATTCAATGCCACGTAGGTCCAGGCCTGGCCGCCACGTGTGGGCTGACCATTGATAACAGGAGTGAGAATTGTAATTCAGGTGGAATCAGTCACAGGGGCTATTGACTCTAACCCACCTCTTCAGCTTCTGCAAGGCAAGGGAGGCTTTCGAGGAGATGAGTTTTGAATTCTCAGCTTTTCACAAAAATAGCCTCCACAGTGGAGCCCCTGGTTTCAAGCAGACGATTTCTTTGTTACTCAGCTGCTGGTGGGTGGGTGGGTGGGGCTGCGGCTGCTCTTTTCCTGAATGAACAGCTGTGCCCTCTCGTCGCCAGCTCAGGAATAATCATAACACTGCTTCATGCTCAGCCCAGCCTCCTCCATTCACTGCTCTCTGGCTGCCTGCCAGCCCTGGGCACATGTTGTTCAGCAGCCCACTGGAGGAGCCAAGAAAGAGGAGACTGGCCATGAAGGGAGGGGTCAGGGCCTTGGCCACAGCAGCCCAGCCTCAGCCTCCAGGGCCCTGCCTCATGTCCCCTGACACTGCCTCCGTTCTGTTCCACCGCCACCCCAAGCCATACCCAGCTAAGGGCCTTCCAACCCCCCAAGCCTCTTTCCTCTAGATGTCTTCTCTCTAGCTCCTGTGGTCACCTAGAGTGCAGAAAATTCCGCCTGGCCACACCCCCTCTGCTGACCAATCAGCTTATAACCCATCACTCAACCAACTTGGGGGCCCCTGGGAGAAGGGCCAGCCTGGCATCCACATTCCAGCTTAAGTCCTGATGCCAGCGCTGGTTGGGCAGGCCTGGGCCAGAGGTCCTACAGACCAAGAATGGGGAGAGGTGATTCCCCAGATGACAACAGCAAGGCAGTTCCCAGTGGACAGGACAGTGAGGGTTGCCAGGGAAACCTGCCAGTGTCCACCATGGCTCCAGTACTTCTGCTGGGAGGGCAGGTTGGTGCGTTTGAAAAACAAAAAAAAAGAAAAACATGGGTCAGGCTGGGCACAGTGGCTTATGCCTATAATCCCAGCACTTTGGGAGGCCAAGGTGGGCAGACCACCTGAGGTCAGGAGTTCAAGATCAGCCTGACCAAGATGGATAAACCCCATCTCTACTAAAAATACAAAATTAGCTGGGTGTGGTGGTACATGCCTGCAATCCCAGCTACTTGGCAGGCTGAATTGCTTGAACCCGGGAGGCGGAGGTTACAGTGAGCCAAGACTGAGCCATTGCACTCCAGCCTGGGCAACAAGAGCAAACCTCTGTCTCAAAAGAAAAGAAGCAGGCAAGGGGATGCCTGTGAGAGCCCTTTGAAAGCTATTATTGCTGGAGGAGAGGAAGGCAAAGAAGAAAGAGGACAGGATATAATCCCAACACTTTGGGAGTGAGGCAGGAGGATTGCTTGAAGCCAGGAGTTTGAGACTAGCCTGCACAACATAGTGAGACCCCATCTCTACAAAATGTATTTTTGGAAAAATTAGCCAGGCATGGTGGTGTACACTTATAGTCCCAGCTACTCAAGAGGCTGAGGTAGGAGGATCATTTGAGCCCAGGAGTTGGAAGCTGCAGTGAGTTGTGGTTGTCTGGAGAGGTTCTGGAGGGGCAGGGGCGTGTAGTGACATTGGGTGGTCCTGGGTTTCAGTACCCCTCCAGCCAGTTGAAATAAAATAGGCAGCCAGGCGCAGTGGCTCACACCTATAATCCCAGCACTTTAGGAGCCCGAGGCGGGTGGATCATGAGGTCAAGAGATCGAGACCATCCTGGCCAACATGGTGAAACACTGTCTCTACTAAAAATACAAAAATTAGCTGGGCATGGTGGCACGCGCCTGTAGTCCCAGCTACTCAGGAGGCTGAGGCAGGAGAATCACTTGAACCCAGGAGGAGGAAGTTGTAGTGAGCTGAGATCACACCCCTGCACTCCAGCCTGGTGACAGAGGAGTGAGACTCTGTCTCAAAAAAAAAAGAAAAAGAGGGCCGGGCGCAGTGGCTCAAGCCTGTAATCCCAGCACTTTGGGAGGCCGAGGCGGGTAGATCACAAGGTCAAGAGATTGAGACCATCCTGGTCAACATGGTGAAACCCCGTCTCTACTAAAAATACAAAAAATTAGCCGGGCATGGTGGCGAGTGCCTGTAATCCCAGCTACTCAGGAGGCTGAGGCAGGAGAATTGCCTGAACCCAGAAGGCAGAGGTTGCGGTTAGCCGAGATCGTGCCATTGCACTCCAGCCTGGATAACAAGAGCGAAACTCCGTCTAAAAAAAAAAAAAGAAAGAAATAACACAGGCAAGTCAAGTCCTTCCTCCTCTCTGAGCCCCTATTTCTTCACCAGTAAAGGAAGTATGACAAAAAAAAATTAATGAATTGTTATGAGGTTTCAGTGAGGGCAAGCCCTCGTGGCATCTTAGCTATGTGTATTAGTTACTTGTATTTTGCTTCACGGTTTCTCTTTTAACTCCCACCTGCTTTTTATTTTAATGAGACTCCTTTTGAAAATGCCAGCCTGCCTCAGTAGTACCGGGAGACACCCGGGGAAGCCTGCCTTCTGTCCAAGCCGAGGCTAAGAAGGAACTGAAAGAAGGAAGAGAAGCTCCTTTGTGGAGGCCTCCTGCAGCCGGCCCTGGGTTAGGGACATCACATACTCAACCTCCAAAGGCCCTCAGGGGCTGGCCCAAGGTCACACAGCTTGACAGTGCAGAGCACTTCAAAGCCAGGGCGGGCGGAGTGGAACAGGCTGGGCGCCTGGATTCAATCAGTCCTCTCTATTCAGAGCCTCCCAGGCTGTGGGGTGTCCACCTGTGCACCTTCAAGCCATCACTCTCTTAGGGTCCTCCTCAATTCAATTTCACGGAAATATTACAAGTGGCAAATAGAGATGAGCACATGTGACTCATCTCCAGCATCTCAGAGGCCTTGAGGGGACAGACCTGAGTGCCATCAGTGTGTCTGTACTAGCAGAGGACAAGACCACCAAGCATCCGGAGGGGAGATGAGTATCTGGGAACCTGGCTTGTCTTGAGCCCTCTCTGGTGGGGGCTCCTTTTGGCCCTGACCTCTATTCTCCCAGACTCACCCCCAATGACCCCCACCCACCCCAAGGGCCCCCCCAGTGTGCCCTCACTCACACTCACACTCACCACCCCCCACTTGCTCTCTAATTACCAGGAACGCGGCACTGTCCCAGGTTCTTCCTCCCCTGCATTCCTCAGCAGCTGTCCTCACTGGGCAGGGCAAATTATACCGTGGGCCAGCCATAAAAGCCACTTTCCAAAAAAGGAAGCTTTAGGGCCCCCGAGAGACGCAGATGAGCCTCTCACCTGGAGGTGCCTGACTCAGGAAGTGGTGTCTGGGCCAGAAGCCACAGAGCCGGGTCCCTTTAAGCAGGGAGTACAAATTCGCATCCCGGTCCCTCCCTCTTGCTCTCCCTGACGTCAGCTGGAAGGCGTGTGAGTGAGTGAGGGGCTGAGGTACCGCCCGCGAGAGCGCGCGCACACACACACAGGCGCACACACACGCGCACTCACACACACACACACATCTTCCAGACCCATCCCTTGCCCGCCAGCTCCACGCGCCAGAGGGAGGCAGAGCGAGGACGCCGCAGGAGGCAGTGCCTGGACCCCGGCTGCCCAGGAGAGGTGAGGGGCTGAATGGGGGCTGTGCTGGAAACTGTGGCTTTGGCCAGGCCGAAGGAGAGAGGTACGACGTGAAGGTGGGGTATGGATCAGCCCAGTTCAGCTTACAGATAGGGTGCTAGATCCCACCTGCCTCTCCCTCCCTCCTTCTCTCCCCATGACCCCCAAACGAGGTGAGACTGTGTGGCTCCCGTGGGAGTGGTGTCTGTCTGTGTCTGGGACCTGCGTCTGGCTCAGGAAGCAGAGAGCAGCAGATATCTGCCAAGCCGCAGCCTCCTGTCTGGGAAGCAGGGGGAGAGAGGACTGCCTTGACCGGAGAAATCCCCGTGCCGGTGCCGTTTCCAGCCGCTGAAAGCAGAGTGCAGCAGGGAGGGTTTCTGGTCTTTCCCCTGGAATGTGGGACTGGGGCTGGAATGTGGGGAAGGGACTGGCTGGGGCAGGCAGACAGTTGGACCTGGAGCATCTGTCTTATCCTGACTCGATTTTTTCCCCAGTGTGATGGGGATAATTGTGTTAGTTGGCTTGGAGAGGTAGCTCCGTGTGGTTATTCTCTTCCCGGGGAACCACCCCACCCCGAGCTCTTGCTTCTTGCCTGCCTTCTGGTCTGCTCTGACCTCCACCCTTGCCCAGGTGCAGCCCCCAGAGGGCAGGGGTGATAAGCCAGGGCCTGCTAGGACACCCCTGTCATGGGATGCAGGGACTTAGGGTGGCGTTGGCTGGTGCCAAGCCCCTGTGTGGCCTGACCCTGGCACAAGGAGTCCAGGCGGAGATAAGGGGGGACGCTGGCACCCACAAGGAGACAGCAGGTTCCTGCCAAGCTTCCAGCCTGCAGGCTCTTCCCAGGGAGAGGGGAGGGGGATACAGAGTGAGAACAATAATAAATACAGAGTGTGAACTGCTGCATCCACTGAGGCTGGGGGAGGGGTGGAGGAAATATGCCCAGCAGGGGGTGGGCAACCTTTCTGAGAGCCTGGCATCACACCGCCTGGCTGTGATCCGGCAGAGGCCTCTTCCTGGGAAAGGGGGTCTCCAGCTTTCTGGGGGATGGGGAACTGGTTCCCCAAACCTGACTCCATCCCAGAGTCCTCTGGGCCCTCCAAATTCTGAATGTTTCCTCCTCCCAGCTTTACCCCACCCTGCCCCACTTCCTTGAAGTCTTTTCCAAAAATGTCTGTTTTCCTTATCTGCCTATCTTGACCCATCCTCACCCTCTTCAAAAAAAAAAAAAAGACAGGAACTGCCTGCCTGGCAGCCTGGGAAAGGCCAGAAGATAGTTTTGCCCACAGAGGGCTCTCCCAGGCTTGGAGAGAGATGGCTAGGCAATGTTCGTGGATGCACAGGGGGATTCCCTGAGGGGGACTTGGGGACACTCTTAGATGGCTGGTGGGGAAGGGACACCTGCCAGCCGGTCTGTAGTAGTGCCCCCAGGGCAGCACCCAGCAGAGGGCGCTCAGGGCCTGGCTGAGCTCTGGTCCTGGCTCAGCCGGTCATGTCCACCTCACAGCCAGGGCAGCCAGGACCCAGGGCCTTGTAGGAATGGGGCTTGGGCAGTTCAGACCTTTGTCCATGCTGAGCAGCAAAATGGGAGACTAAGAGTAGTAGGGGGTTCATTTGCCCCACAGCCAGCAAAATGGGAGACTAAGAGTAGTAGGGGGTTCATTTGCCCCACAGCAAAATGAGACTCCTGGGCTGCAGTGGTGGCATGGCACACCAGAAAGCTTTGGGGTCACACTGATTTGAGTTTAATTTCAGATGCTCTATGCATGACTTTGACCAGTCTATTCCTCTCTCTAGGGTCTCAAAATGGGAAAGTGACTTGCCTAGGGTCACACAGCCAAACAGAAGTGGCACTGGTTTGTGAACTTGGCTCCCCCCGTGCCATCCTGGCTTCCCCCCTCCACCCAAGCCCAAGAAGCCCAAAGGCCTTAACCACAGTGGTTCCCCAGGACAGCCTGGGCAGGTGATGGAGAGGAGGACTACAGGGTCTCTTAAATAATTAAGCTCAAGTATTGGCTGGGGCAGCGCCCCCAGGCACAGATGCAGGCACACAGTCTGCATGGGGGAAGGAACCACGTTTAATCAGGTCACCTCAGGCTGCAAGAGCAGCTCAGGCAGTGATGTATTTTAAGGAGCATCTGGGAGGCTGGGGGAGGGGGAGGAGACGGGGAAGTGTCAGCTCCTGCCCGGGGGGTCCTGAGTTGGTTTTCTCACCCTCCCAGGGCCCACTGTACATACGTTCCGGATGTTCAGGAAGCCCTGCCATCGTCATCCTGTGTTCCCCGTCCTTTCTATTTTTAAGCAACCGTACCCATCCCTCCCATCTGCTCCCCTGTGATGGGGGCTTGGGGCTGGGACATTTTTATTGGGGGAGTTGTTTTTAAGCTTAGCAGAGCTGGCAAGTGACTCACCCAAGGTCATGGTCTGAGTCAGCGCAAAGCCAGAAATAAAAGCCCGAGTCCTTGCTCCCCAGGAACTCCACACCCCACTCCTTCTTCTCCAGGGGAGGGTGGGTGCCGCCCTCAAGGAATGGCTGGTCTTCACCTCCCCGGACATCTCCAGAGGGCAGACATGCTGTACCTGACCTGCTGTGTGAGCTCAGTGAGGCTCTCAACCTCTCCGAGCCTCAGTTTACTCTTCAGAAGAATGGGTGTACTAGTAGTAGTTACTGCATGGGGTTCTTGTGAGATCAAAAGGAAAAAATGGGACAAGGGGCTTGGCTCGTGGTCGGTATCCACAGATCACTACATGGTGGTTGAGGCTCATGTCAGGACTTCCCAGGCTTCGTTTTAATTGCCTGTGTCTATTCCCTCCACTGGAACAGTCACAGATGATTAAGGACTAAGGACAGCTGTCACCCTCACATTTGTTGTCCTGGTGCCTGCAATCAGTTTGATTTCAATTACGTGTGTGTTTTGAAAATCTCAGAGGAGAGTTGGCCTGACCTTCATTAGTCATCTGTACCAGTGATGATGCACATAGCTGAAGAGAAAGGTGAGGCCCAGAGAGGGGCAGGTGCCTGCCTCAGGTCACACAGCACTGGGTGGCTGAGCAGGCTGTCTCTCCCAGATCTGCCCAGACTGAGAGAGATTCTCATGGTCAAGACAGGATCATATGGTCAGGTGTGGTGGCTCACGTCTATAACCCTAGCACACTGGGAGGCCAAGAGGGGGTGGATCACCTGAGGTCAGGAGTTCAAGACCAGCCTGGCCAACACGGTAAAACCCTGTCTCTACTAAATATACAAAAATTAGCCACGCACCTGTAATCCCTGCTACTTGGGAGGCTGCGTCAGGAGAATCACTTGAACCTGGGAGATGGAGGTTGCAGTGAGCCGAGATCACACCACTGCACTCCGGTCTGGATGACAGAGTGAGACTCAGTCTCAAAAAAAAAAAAAAAAAAAACAATGGGCGAGGTGGCTCACACCTTTAATCCCAACACCAAAGCAATGGCTCACAAGGTCAGAAGATCAAGACCAGCCTGGCCAATATGGTGAAACCCTGTCTCTACTAAAAACACAAAAATCAGCTGGGCGTGGTGGCAGGTGCCTGTAATCTCAGCTACTCAGGAGGCTGAGGCAGCAAAATTGCTTGAACCCAGAGGGTGAAGGTTGCAGTGAGCCGAGATTACGCCACTGCACTCCAACCTGGGTGACAGAGTAAGACTCTGTCTCAAAAAAAAAAAAAAAGGCCCATGGCCAGGCACAGTGACTCACACTGTAATCTTAGCACTTAGGGAGACTGAGGCTGATTGTGAGCCGTTATCTTGCCATTGTACTCTAGCCTGGGGACAAAGTGAGACCCTGTCTCAAAAAATAAAAAAAATGAGAGAGGACCATGACAAACATTTCCTGCCCCATTCTCCATTCTTTTGGGGGAGCTGAGAATTGGAGCAGAGCCCCAGCATGGGCTATGGTTCATCTGCCAAGAAGGCTGAGTCACCACCCAGAGTGCCCCGTGACACGCATCCAGCCTCAGGTTATCTCTAAACAGTCTGACATTTGTTTACCTCCAGGCCCCTTTGTCTGCAGAGTCAGTCAGTTGGGGTCTGGCTTTCTGCAGGGAAATGAAGATGAGTCTGGCTCAGAGTCCAAATGCAGGGCCAGGGGTGCAAGGAGATGCACTTTCACATGGGGACCCTTGATGCAGCTCTGTGGTTCCTCCCAACTTGGGTAGATGTTATGATGAGCCCCATTTGACAGATGAGGAAACTGAGGCACAAAATGGGAGGGTTGGCTGGGTGCAGTGGCTTACGCCTGTAATCCCAGTACTTTGGGAGGCCAAGGCGGGTGGATCACCTGTGGTCAGAAGTTCAAGACCACCCTGGCCAACATGGTAAAACCTTATTTCTACTAAAACACACACACACACACACACACACACACACACACACACACACTAGTTAGGTGTGGTGGGAGGTGCCTGTAATCTCAGCTACTTGGGAGGCTGAGCCAGGAGAATCACTGGAACCCAGGAGGCAGAGGTTGCAGTGAGCCCAGATCACACCACTGTACTCCAGCCTGGGCAACAGAGCCAGGCTCCGTCTCATGGGGGGAGGGGTGGCGAGGAAGGGAGGGTCACAAAGCTGGGTTGCAGTGGAGCCAGGATTTAAACTCAGGCTGTCTGGGTCCCAGGCTGCACTCCTACCTGACTGCTGGTTCTGAAGGGCATTATTCCTGGCGGGAGGTGGCCCCAGAAGGACACACGAAATTCCCCTGGAGCTGGCCTTTAGCTCTGTTTGAGTGGAAACAAATGTTCTAGAAACATATCAGTTTCTCTGCTCTTGGGGGAGTTTATTTTCCCATTTAGTTTCTCAGAGAAAGTTCTTTTGGAAAAACTCCAGCCTCATCTTGGCTGAACCAGGAACAGGATTTATCTTCACAGGAAGAGCACGAATTTACTGTTAGACAGACCTGGGGCTCTGTCACCTACTCTGTGACTTTGGGCAAGTCACTCACCCTCTCTGAGCCTCAGCTACCTCATCTGTAAAATGGAGAAATTATCATTTCAACTCTATAGGGTAACTGGGAGGCTGAAACATAGAAAATAAGTTCTGCAAAGACTT